ATGTAATGAAATTATAGATAGTTTAATAGAACAATAAAAAATATTTTATATAAAGTATTATTTATTTTATAATATAATAATAACAGTTAAATCCATAATATTTAAATTTAAAACCATTAATATATATATATATATTATTTATTTTATAACCTTCATTTAAAAAATACTCTTAACTAAACACATTAAACTACTTTTTATTTAACTATAATTTTAATTAAATATATATAAATATCAAACCAATTCCAATTAAAAATATTTTTTATAAAATATATTTTTTTAAATCTCAATTATAAAAACTATTACAATAAAAAAATACAATCAAAGTGAAAGTTGATGGATGCTTAAAGTTTCAATTGAGTACTGGGCATCACTGGCATGTCAAAGAAACAACTATTTCTTCTCTATTCTGGAGAAACGATAATATCACCCGAGTGCTTATCGATCTCAGTTGGAACTTACTGTTTTGGAAGTGTTCTTTATCTTCACAACTCTATATTTCTAAAAGCACTCCCCACCACGTGATATAAGTAAAAGGTAATGGTGCAATAATAAAATAGAAAATACATAAATTCTAATTAGTAAAAACAATTATAGATATGAAATATAGATTCATAATTTTATTATATTTTTAAAATAAATATATAGTAGTTGCATCCTCAAAAGAGTTACAAGACCTTTAAACAAATGATAAATCTCTACCTCTACTAAAAAACAACTTAAAGAAGATTAAAATAAAATCTAAATAAAAATAATAAATCCAAAAAATCATAAAAATATAATAAAATTAGCATCAACAACAACTTCTATATCTAATTTTGAGAGATTTAATGGTCTAATAAATGACAAAATGGCTTTCAATAGAAAATTTTTTCTTGTAAATTCACCCAAAAAATTTTTAGTTTGATTTAGAAGTTGGATATCTTGTTATAATAGTTTTAAACTTCTAACCTACTCTAATGTTATTATACCTCCTTTTGATACTCAAATGGTTCAATAGTCCATGTATAAGTATATGTTAGGCAATTGAAATGGTCCTTTTAGATTAGATCACCATCTAGTTATGTAAGATCCACACCCAAATGCTAAGAATCTTCAGCTTTTACAAGCCTCGGTTGCATTATTCTCCCCAGGATAAAGAGAGCCCATCCTCAAATTTTGTTCTTTTTCTAAATAAGGTATCAAGTGTTCAACATTAAAAACATCAAAAGTTTGCAGATGGATAGGAAGGCAAGGTTTATAAGCATTTATCTTTTACAACACCTTACAAGGTCATACCTTCATTTATTTCAGCATGTTATACTTGCCCACTAGAATCCTGTCACGAGGACGTACTACTATACTAAATTACTAACCTCAAACACCACTCTTATATGATGAGTACTAGTCAGGGCTTTATACTTGGCATATTGTTAGTTTGGATGCTTAGTCATTCGATATGAAGAACATGCATCAACTTCAATACTCTTGAAGGGTTTTTCTCATAGACAATCTCAAATGAATTGAATTGGGTAGTATGATTTTGAGATACATTATAAGCAAATTTTACTTGTGACAATGTCATATCCAATTGTTTTGACTTGCCTCCCACTAAACTCCAAAACAAGTTGTCGAAGCTATGGTTAACCAACTTAATTTGCTTATCTGTATGAGGATGATATATACCACTAAAGTGCAGTTGAGCTTTTCTCAAAAGATCTTTGAAAAGTTATTTATAAACTTCACATCTTTATCTGAAGTTATAAACCTAAAAATATCACGTAAAAAAACCACACCATTGAAGGAAAGGTGGGCTATCAAGGACACATTTATGGTCTTTCAACAAATTATAAAATCGGCCATCTTTGAGAATTTATTCATAATAATAAAAATAAAATTCATGGTTCATTAGTTATAGGCTAAGCCCAACATAAGATCCATACTAATATCTAGCTAATATTGGAGTATATGGTCCAACATTTAATAAGGCTCCCATAAACCTCTAACACATTTCCTCGTAAAACTAAATACCTAGCCTAATAGTTTATGTTGTTTCTCACTTTTAACTTTAAAGAAAAATCAAGAAAAAAAATAGAAATAGAAATTCAAAACACAAGAGGATATATATATATAAAAAAGCTTTAGATTGTCTAAGTTGGGAGTGAAGGATCAAAATAACAAGTGAAAAAGTTTAAGGACAAAAATGTATAAGATTAACAAAATTAGTAACTCAATTCAAATTGACAAAGGGTTCCATTAGTGAAAATATTTTTATTTGAGATAAAGAAATCAAATTTGGATAGGTAAGGAATCAAAAAGAATTTTAAAAGGCTTAATTAATCTTATTGAGGACTTGATTGCAAGGAAAATCAATTTTTAAAGTCAATTTAGATATTAATTAAAAAAAATTAAAATCTAAGAACTTAATTGATTTTTTAGGAGGTTTAATTGGATGAATCAGGGGTCTAATTATAAAAATATTGAAGTTATACTTATTTGATGTGGGGAATCTTAAAACAAATTTCTATTGGAAGAATCTATAAAAATAAGTAAACATAAAAATAAATTATATATACTATATAAAAATACCAAGAAAATAATATTTTAAAAATAGATTAAAAAAATAAATAGTCTTGTTTATTTGATGTGATGAATTTAAAAAAAAAATTAAACTAGAACATAAATGCTAATAAAATAAGTGTTCGGGTGGTTAAATTTATAATAATAAAAATTTAATTTTTGACAAAATATAAAAGGGTGATGCGTGCTATTTTTTAAATGAAAAAAAAAAGAAAAAGAAGAAATAAATAGGAAAACAGAAAGGGGATTGTTTATGAGGTTATAATTTAAATATTGTCTTTAAATTTACTAACATGTATTAGCAACAAGTATAACAAAATATTTTGTTGGTGATTGTTTTTATAATGATAACAAATTTTTTTTCGGTCATCCTTTTATTTTCAACTGTAATTTTATAAGTATTACCGCCAAATATCTGCATCGAACAATCTTGCGTGTGCGAACATTTGGGACTCCTTGGCTCTCTTGAGGTCACCGCATACGTGGGAACCAAAAGTGGTCATAGCTTACGTGACCTCTCTCTTGTTACTTGTCATCTTCTTAGCTATTATGGATATCTATAAATTGTCCCAACAATTATCCCGGTAGCATCACACAATCTGAAGCTCTCGTCAACAATGGCAGAAGTACTTCCAACCAAAAGGCACTTCTTTATTACGAAACCTCTCCTCTGCAACATGTGTTGACTCAAACAATATACTCACAAACTTCATATTCTAATACCTTTCTTTCTTTTCTTTTTATATGAAATTTCAGGATTGCAGTCGTTACGGGTGCAAATAAAGAGATTGGTTTAGAGATTTGCAGGCAGCTAGCATCTAAAGGGGTCCTGGTGGTTTTAACAGCTAGAGATGAGGAGAGGGGTCTTGAAGCTGTCAAGATCCTCAAAGTTTCAGGTTTTTCTGATGTAGTTTACATTTTAATTTTCTTCTGGATTGTATTTAAGCAACCTATCACTTGAATGCCCATTTCAGTTGGATGTTGCTGTTTTGGAAGTGTTCTTATCTTGACAACTTGATATTTCAACAAGGAATTGTCAAAATTTGTTTTCTCTTTCAGTTTATTCCTTGAAAAAAGCCAAAAGGAGCTAGGTGACGCTGATATTGGAAATTCCGACCGGTGATGTACTGATATTTGCTTATAGGAGGCAAAGCACACTGACACAATATTTAACGTGGTTCGGCAAAACCGCCTACATCCACGGGAAAAACCATTGCATTATATAGGAAGAGTACAAGATTTACAACAATAGAGGAGGAGGAATCATTCCCTCTTTCACAACTCTCAACCTCACTCTATTTCTTTCTTTTTAGTGCTGCAATGGCAGCCCACTCTCTCCTACATTTCTCACATCTTTGACTCTTTTCTTTCTCTCATTTTGCTCTCTCACATATGCCTCTATTTATAGGCATTCATGGAGGCTTTTCTTCAACAAAGGTGGCTGCCAACTCTAGCTCTTCTTCAACAATGGTGGCTGCCAACCTTTGACATCTTGGATGGGTGCACATAGTTGGTACAACTCCAGCTGCAATAGTCAATGGTTGTTGCACATTAATGGCAACCAACCTAACAGCTGATGGCCTCACAAAAGAAAAGGTTGAGAAGCTGGTGGAAGAGTTCTGGAGG